GCAAAAAAGAAGAAGCGAAACTTTCTCTGGTACAACTGTCAAACTTAGGGAAATTTTGGATTGCAAAGCCGCGGTTCATCACTTAATTGTGGCCAATTAAGGACGCTGCCTACTAAACATGCTAAATAAAAAGATTTTTGCGCCAGATTAGAACCATACGGAAAAAGTAGATCTTTGCAAGGGCTGCTGGAATTCTTAAAGAAAACTGGAGGTAGCCACGCATTTTTTCGAGATATTTAGCCCTGACGCTCAACAAAAATGCTGACATAAGCATTTCGCCGAAAAAAGGTGGAAAGGATATTTCTTCACAGATTTCCTTAGAATTCGCATAGAGAAAAGCAAACACATTTATAAAGATCTGAAGACTACATGGTAAATGGTAACATAGAAACCATTTTTGGTATGTATCTCTTTTCCCCTTTCAACCAAGTTAGGTGTGAAAAGATCTTTTCAGGAAGGACATCAAACCTGGTGGAACGGAAAATATTTCCATCTTGCAAGGTTTTCTTTTTAACCTCTCTTCAATAGCTTCTATCCAATAGGTAAAGACCTACAAAAATATGGATATTAATTGAGAGGGCTTTTTTTTTTTTTGGCGAAGATTTATTAATGGATTTCAAAAAAAATATATATACAACTTAAGAAAGGTCTTTATTTTTCTCATAGCACATTTTCCAAAGTAGAATGAGGCTATCAACAAAAACTGCATTTCATGTGCATAGATGTACCGTTAAATTTGCTTTCCAATTCTCAACGAGCCCCCCTGTAGTCCAGTGGCTACATCTCCGAACTTCGGTCCCGAAGGGCGTGGCGTTTACCCCCATAAGGGGACATCGTTTTTTTATGTTTGTGTTGGACTTAATTAATTTTTTTTTCGTAAAATATTGTGGTTTTTTTTCCGTTTAAACCAAGTTAGGTGTAAAGAGACCTTTTAAGAAAGCACATCAAACCTGGCTGACCGTAAAATATATCCATCTTGCCATGTCTTTTTTCATTTGAGCCGATCTTTATTAGCTTGCATTCAATAGGCAAAGATCTGCAAAAGTGTGGATCTTAATTGGGAGTTTATTATTTTTTTTTAATTTGGGAAAGATTTATTAATGGTTTCAGAAAAACTATATAACTTAAGCGAGGTATTTCATTTTTTGATAGCACATTTTCCAAAACAAGATGAGGCTGTCAATAAAAACGACAGTTCATGTGCACATAGGTACCATTAAATCTGGCACTTAATTCAAGGAGTCCCCCTCTAGCCTAGTGGTTACCTTGCAGAGCTTCGGTTCGGAAGGGCATGGCGTTCAGCCCCCGCAGGAGGACTCCGTCTTTTTTTTCATGTTTATGTTGAAGTTGTAGAAGCCGACAAAGATGTCATATAGAGGACACGTTATGGGCGTGTAATCAGACGTCCCAAGAGACTGTAGAACATTTAAATTATACGCGAGTGGGTGTGGGTGTGAGTGCTTGTTGCCTGTGTTTTTCTGTTGCTTGAAGAGTCGGATTACAAGTCTCGATATAATACTACCGGATTAAACTGCTATGTCGAATTCTGCGAGTGTTCGTCGTTTTACTGGGCCCGTACACTGGTAGCAGAGCGAGGTTGTCTATTTTGTGGAGTTTAATACGTCGGCCGAAACACGTATACGAACATGGCAGGAAAAGGTCAAGAAGAAGTCCATTGATCTTTTTTATACAATTTTTTTTTCTGTTTCAACCAAGTTCGGTGTGAAAAGATCTTTTAAGAAAGGACATCAAACCTGGGTCACCATAAATTGTACCCATCTTGCTATTTTTTTTTTTTTTTTTTTTTTCATTTAAGCCGCTCTTTATAAACTTACAAACGCTGCCAAATGCATTAAAAATGAAGGAGAGGGATTGAAGTTGATCAAAAACTGTAAAAAAGTAAATAATATTTTAAAATGACGGCTTGTGTTTATTTCACGTGAGCTCTATTTAAACAAAGAAAATGCAAAACTTTTTCAGAATAAAGTGTGCAAAGGGTGTTGTCTTTAAAATTCGTGACGTGCCT